ATCATATCATTATAAATATAATTTATTGACACATTTTACATAATGTGATCACTTTTTATTATTACAATTATAAACGTAAGAAATCCTGCCAATAAATTATATTTATCTACATATATTTGTATTTTTTTTACATTATTTTCTCATTTAAGTAATGATTTTTTATTTATTTAACCAAATTACTTTTTTATGAATTGAATTTTTATTATTTAAATATTAGTTATAATTTATTCTAAATTTAATAAATAAATTAATGTGATACTTAGTAATTCATTCTAGGAAAAATATATCTTAGTATTATTATTTAATTTGAATGTTCAAATAAAAATTATTCTAGTCAAAATTGTGCTGAAATCGGGTAAAACATATATTTTTTTTAATCTCAATTTGATTTTGTTTTATCGTTTTGACAAATTCTCGATTTGAATATTCAAATCACAAAAATCAATTTAGTATTATGGCCAAAGATTTTGGTAAAATATTTAAACGATTCTGATGTATATTTATGCATATATGCATATTTCAATTCTAACACAAAAATTAGATTTCAAAAAATCACTCCTTGAATGGCTCATGTGGTTCTTCTATATATTGAGTCACAATGAACACTTTCATGTATTTACATAGACAAAAAAAAAGTTTCAAGCACTATACCTTGTTTTTACAATAATGTCTCAAAATCAAATGATCTCCATTTTCAAACTTCTTTCTTTCTGTCTCTTCCTTAGCATGGCTTTCAAAGGTAAAAATCTCATTTTCAAGCCTCTCTCTTTAAATATCTATTAACTTTGTTGATAAATAATCATAATTAATAAACCTTATTGACTTTTTTTTTAAGTAAAGTTTTTTTTTAATAATTTGTTTTTTATTTACGATACTCAAATTCAAAATCTTATTTAAAATACTCAAAACAACATGTGTTAGTGTGACATAACACTTTGTACAAACATTAATTTTTCTTTAGTTAAGGTTTAACTGATTGGTGATGTTGTAGTTGATGGGGAAAGTTGCATCATGGATAGCATTAGCATTGTGCAATCAAAGACAGGAAAGTTGGTAGAAGGCACACCAGAATGGAGAGTAAGCATCAGAAACAAATGTAGGTGTGTTCAGTACCAAGTGCAGATCTATTGCCTTGGATTTCAAACAAATAAACCTGTGGATCCATCAATCTTAAGCATTTATAGTGGTGTTTGCCACCTTAATCCCACCAAAGTTATTTCTCCTTCTCAAACTATTCAGTTTCTCTATGCATGGAATGTTCAGTTTCTGTACTATCCGTACTGCGAAACCGAGCTCCGAGCTCGGCACCACAGCGCATGATGACCTCGGGCACGCGCCACACAACGTCAGCTCGGCATTTAAGTAGATCATAACTGATCTCAGGGGATCTCGCGCCAGACGAGATCCGTTATCTAATCATATTTTATCTCAGGCCCAAGGCCCAAAGCAACCCTAATTCCCACTAAGGTACGTGCATTACATATACGAGACTCATACTTATACAAACCCTAACTTTAGCATCGGAGTCTCTTTTGCAGGTACCACCCCCATATTGGAGCATCAAGCGTACCAGTGAAGGAGGCTCACCGATCTTACCTGGCGGATCAGCTCTACAGCAGATTTTCGGTAAGAACATTTGGCGCCTACCGTGGGGCCGATCAGGACAGCTCTTATCGGCCACGCTTATGGTTTTCACTAGAAGCCATAGTACACGCACAACAGACGACGCAAACCACTCAACTACCATGGATAACGAAGCAGCGTTGAGGAGACTAATCGATCAGGTCGAACAGATGCGGCAACAGCACGCCGCCGACCTACAAAACATGCGTGCCAAGCACGA